ACACTACCAGTTGTTAGTTGAAAGTAGCGTAGGGAAAAACTGATACAAACATGTCTAGATCTGCATCTCCTCTGCCGCTTCTGCTGAAATCCCTGCTATTGATGGAATAGAAAGAATGCAGGTGGGGACCGGGGTCTGTTTTTTGGCACGATCTTCCCCACCATCACCTCTCCAGCTGGGATTTCACCATATAATAATGAGTTTATGTAAAAACTGAAGGTCGTGGGGTAAGAGAGAGTGGACAGCACTGAAGAGGAGTGCATTGCCTCCTCTTTGTAGTGTTAAAATACTTTCTTCTCTGCAACGTTCCCCAGTGGGAAAATGCAAGGACAACACTCAGTAGTGGATAATCTGGCTGGAAATGCCTCAGCCACTTTGTCCAGGTTCTGCACGAATGGTACAGGTCTTCTACACAGTCCTGCAAGATATGCCAAAGTTTGTACAGGAACAACATCCGTTTTTCCTGTTGCTACTAGAAACATAGACTATGGACAAAATCTAAAAGGTCTTACACAGATAGAGCTCTCAGTAAATGGTGCGGGAGATTTGCCTCAGTAAAGACTTAAGAAATTGGCATCTCTTTGTTGTGTAATGATTGTGCTAAAAGCAAAGGCATTGACAGTGTTTTATAACTGATGTGGTAGCACCTGTCACCAATAACGAACTTTTTCTTCAAAGTATGTAAATTAAAAGTTTTGGATTGATGTGAATGATTAATAGGGGTCATGTAACCTGTAAAACTCTTTTTACACAATAATAACCTCCTGACAATTTACTCCAGTTCCTCAAGTAAGATTTGTAATGACTCTACATCCTTTGACAAAGTTAGACTCAGTATTTATGTTTATTTAGTAGTAGAGCAGACAGGTCATTTCTTATGCAAGACATCAGCAGGGACCTTTGCATGCCTCTCTAATCTTTGCATTTTGCAGAGCAGTTTTACTTAGAGCCTTAGCCTGTAATTCATTTCACATGCCCATTCCCCAGTGAGATCATTTGGTGTACGTTTGATTTACCAGCAGCAAAGCAGGGATTGTGTCTTTTAGTGTCTCAGACATGTCTGTATAGATTAGAATGGTAACCTACAGTTGCAACTTAGACTGAACAGCTTTAGATTTCAGAATACTGAGAGCACAATATAATTGTTCATACATACCATGTTGCCTGCTTGTCTCCTTTGGGACATAAGGGGCAATCACTGGAGTCTGGATCTGGGGGAAAGGGAAGGAGGTCAGATGTTAAAAATGAAATTGTAGCAGTTCTACTCCCAAAGCAGAGCCAGACAATGCAGTAAACCCAAGCTTGTGCAAAATTATCTCCCTGTGTATGTAGTGCAGTAAGGATAGTATATATTACCTTTCTAAGCAGGAAAAATGTAGCATCTTTCTTTTCTAGCCGAAGTTCTAGTCCAAAGCTAGAGACAAACACAAGCAGGACAGCGGGACAGCACTTGCCAGGAGGACAGCTAACAGCTTATTGGGATCTGCACCGCACTCTGTGCCATAGGTTGCTCACAGAGCCTGTCTCTCATCTTCCAAAGAAGAAAAAGCTACTTTCTACCTAAATGTTTCAAGTGAAAGCTTGGGTCAGTGAACAGTTGAATGTCAATTTACTCCTAAAGCAGATTCACTTGGATTATTTAGGATCAAGGGATATCAAACAGGTGCCATCTCTGCCATGTGAAATCCTAGCACTACTGCTTGCCAGAACTTGGGCTGATAAACCACGTCAGCAACTGATCCACACTTGCGCTGTTAATCTTATGCTCGTCCATAAGCAGCTTCTGTTGGCCACAGTATACAGACTGCTGGTCTGGCACAGTATGACCATGTGTGTGTTCTCCATTGTGAAGTTACATTTTTGTTCAGGCTTTTGCTTCAGGATCTAAAGGGAAGTGCATTTCGCTGTGTTTGGTTGGTAAAAGCATGGTGCTGAGGAGAGGAGCTGAGCAGGCAGGGCTGGTTACAGTTTAGTTTCATGCTGCTGCTCTGATCGGTGTGCAAGGCACGGACAACAGCTGTTACAACAGCTCACCTTTATCTGCTGTTGAGGTGGTTTAATAGGACATTAAATGAGAGGTGGTAGAAACCAAACAGTAGCTCCATTTTAAATATGACCATAGCTGGACTGCTCTTCCTGCTCTTCACACCCATAAAATAAGATACAAGCAGACGAGGGGGCTCAACGTGTAGCTTTGCAAGGGAGGAGAAGCATACCTGTTCCCAGTGCAAGCAGCAGGAGCAAAGCAGGGGCATTAATGATGTGTGGAGCCGGGTCGGTTCAGTTCTTCTGCGATTTTTCCGGATGCGTGAGTTTGAGTCTCACCTGCTCTATTGCCCTGCCACTTCTCTTGTTCTGAAAAGAGAGCACAGTGTCATTTAAACTGGTGATTCAGAGGCAGCCAGGTATGATGCTAAAAACCTCTCTCTGTGCTGTAGAAATTGTCATGGCTGATGGGTCAGGGTGACCTTTTATCTTGACTTTTTTCACCACCTTTTAAAATGCAGCAAAGGCTGCTACATTGATTCAGGGAAGATACTGTAAGCTAAAACACAAATCTCACCATCTGATATATGCAACATAAGAAATTTCGAAGCTCGGAATGTGTTGGAATTTGCATGGCAAAACTATTTCTGTTGGTTTTGTATGTGTTAATGTTTGAATCTCTCTTGTTCTAGGAACAGCCCATAAACATAAGCACTTGCTTTTACCACAGTGAAATCAGTGAAAGGCATTTCTTTGGTTAATTGTCTGCACCATTGGGCACTGTAGTCATAAGGCTCCTACAGAAGAGGAAGATTGTCTGAAACCACTTGCTAATTCTGTTTCTAAGTCTTTCCATTTCAGCTAACATTTTCCTTTAGTGCAAAGATTTACATTTTTCTTAAAAATTTGCATTTTGCCTTCAGTTCTGGAACGTACTTGGCTTTCCAGGGAAGGCAAACAGTGCACTGCACATAAACTCACAGGGATCAAATGTTAGCTTTTAGTGTGATATCATCTTCTGCACATTTTTATATTATTGCAGTTCATAATACTGCACCACAAGATGGAAAACAGTAAAAGTCTCTTTATTTATAAGGTTATTACAGGTATCCTCCAGTGTATCTCATGCGTATACATCCTGTCAAAATATTTCAGGATTTTGACAACAGTGCCTGAACTTGTTCAAGTGACATGACATGACTTTTAACTGTATTTTTTTACAGTTTTAGTATTTTTAAGAATAGCTAATAAAAGTGTTACCCATGCACTAAAAAAATAGAGAATCCCTTGGTGAACAAAAGGTTTAAAAAAGCATCAGTTGAGCTTTGCAGTTAAATAAACTGTACAGGAAATTATGATGATGTTCTCTATAATTGCTCTGGGAAAAAAAAGTCTTGAAGTCTATGGAAGGCGTAACAGACCCAATTAATGCCCACACTGTTTCTTCAGAGAAACAGATTTTGTGTAATGTAAATGTGCTGCAAAGAAAATGTTCTTGTGCTTGTTTTATAGTTTATCCTTATTTTTTACCTTGTACAGCTGTAGTGTATGGTATTTTGCAGTCTTCAAAACTGCAAGTTGTGTTATCATTTCTGAAATGCGAAAAACAATTCTATATTTCCTGTATTTTTTAATTGTCAATGTAAATTATGATCCAAAGTGTGTTTTCATGTCCAAGAAGCATGGACTGGTTTGTGTATGTGCACACATTCATGTTCTAAAATAGGTGGCTATTTCTTTGTTGGGTTCATTATGTGTGTACGTCAGTGTAGCTATTATCAGGAGCATTCTTTTTAGCTTTTAGAATAAAAGCTGAATCAGAGGCTGAGAACACTGACATATCTGGAATTTCAGAGCATTTCCAGGGACTGACAATTAATGGTACTCAACCAACCCTGCACCTCGCCACTGATGGATGATTAGAGTTTAGCTAATGAGAAGATATTCAGAGAAAAGTCAGGGATTTTTTATTCTCTTGTCAGTTTGGTTTGGGATTTCTGTGGGTTTAAATCTGAGTTGATATCCACAAAGTTGTCCAGAAGAATCTGTGTAAACGGTCAGACTGTTCTCTACTGTCAGTAGTTTTGTGTTTACACGTTAAGCTCTGCAGGTCATGGATCATTGCTTTATATGTTTATAAAGCTCTATTGCTATCTGTGTTTCTGAAGTATCTAAAAAAAAGGGCCTGGCCTGAAGGGCGAATGGTGATTAGATTAAGGGGACTGTTCTGTTCTGTGCCTGGCAATGCTCACCCATAATAACAGGTCAGCTTAATGGGTGCTGTTTGCAGAAACACTTCCGTTGGAGCCAGGTTCTTCCTAGGGGCATCAAGTGAAAGGACAAGATGCAATGGGCACAAACTGGAACACAGGAAATTCCATTTAAATACAAGAAACAGCTGCAAGGGAGATTGAACAGTGGACCAGGTTCCCCGAAGAGGTTGTGTAGTCTGTGTCTTTGGCAGTGTTCAAACCCTGACTGGATACAGTCTTGGGTAGGCTTCTCTAGTTGACCCTTCTCTGAGCTGGGAGGTTGGACAAGACAGTCTCTAGAGATGTCTTGCCAACCTCAGTAAGCCTGTGGTTCTGTGATTTGCTTGACTGGGGTATGACTGGATATGTCTGTGCTGGGGAATACCATTGTCTGTCTGCAGGCAAAGGTCTGAGCACAGCTGGTGCTGTGCTAGCGTACTTGCCATGCTCAGCATCAGCGACCTGGAAGGCACACTTGGGGCTGGTCTTGCAGGCTTACTTCTGAACAGCTTTCAGGTCTGGTCTAAGGGCTGCCATTAGGAAACTTGGGCATAACTAGTGTTATTGAGTCCTTTTGTTCCTGAACTGCAGTGGTGATATCATGAGATAGGATTAAACAGCCAATTAATATCCTGAATTCTTCTAGTTCTTTCCCAGTGAAGTTCCAGAAGGGTCATCTGATAATCAGTAAGTCCAAAGGGCTTGCAAATTCCATATGCTCCTCTGCCAGGACGTTGCTGATAACTGAATTACATTTCATAGGTGTGCAGTGCAATCCAGAATCAAGATTTCACTGTTATTGATGACTACTGCACTGGACTGCAAGCTCTTCTTTACCTGAAAAGCATTGAGGAACTTGAAGGCTGGAATGGACAGAGTCCTGCAACAATGCGCCATCAGAAAGGAAAACCAGTACCTAGAATTGCTGATCTGATGGGAAAGGTATGTTGTTTCATAGCCACTCCTGTATAATGACACTAAGTCTTGGCTTTGAATGCTATTCTATAATCATTGTATGCAGTTTGTGCTGCTTACCTTGGTTAACCACTGCTGCCGTCACAATTACTCACCAAGTCTTTTTCCTTCTGAGTACTAACAAATATCTGAAGGCAGCTTGAGGAGACAAACTTGAAATGATTTGATATGGGATAACTTTTTTTGCTATAAATATGATCTCTCCACTTGATTCATAACATCATTTCTTTAAAAAAAGTGTAGCAAGTAAAATTATAAATGCATTGGTACACATTCTGGAACTGCTTGTTTTAATGAAACTCGGCTTGATTCAGATTGATGCTAATATTGTGCCAGAAGTTCCTGGGTGTTCCAGCCAGGGTGCAACATTCAGGAGACATGAAAGCTTGCTAGCACTGGACCTGACCAGCTGAGACAGGTTCTCACAAACCAGCTATTAGCTGGAACACTGGATCAGGTAGGAGTGGCCCTTCAATCGTCATATCTGAGCATCTCATGGTCTTTCATGTGTGCTGACATCCAAACCCTCTGCAAGGCAGGGAAGTTCCAGTTGAGGAACAGTGACACCGAATAATTTAATAGATTCCACAAGATCATTTAAAACTGTGGTGGAAGAGGAATGTAAACTATGGTGTCACTGAAGTCGTAACCTCTGGACTGTCTTTCCTCTCTGTTCTAGCAATTCCCTGCTACAAAAGCATCTTTGGAGATTTTTGCCAGATGCAGTGGTTTGCAGCCGCCCCAGTACTGCTCACCCCTCCACCAGGGCACTGGCTGATCCACGCTGAGAAGCAGGGAGGTGGAAGGGGCTTCCTACTGATGCCCCACTGCTTACTGCTCTAAGTAAAATACCTGCACAGCAGGGAGGCTGAGCTTTTGTTTCTGGTTACTAGAGGGGATCACTCTGAAGACTGATTTCAGTTATACATCATGCCTATTGATTATCCTTCCAAGAATCTGATATAACAGTGTTGAAAATGTTGTAAAAAGTAAAGAATTACAAAAGAATAGGATTTGGAGTGTCAAACACCTCCAAATCTCTGCTTATCGTTGCTGACAACTGGAGTTGGATTTAGCAGGAGATTAGACTAGACTTCTATATTGTTGTTGTTATTCTCTGTGGATGTCTGGAAATTACAACATTACCTTCCAGGAGAAAAGACAATCCTATTCCTAAAGCTCTGGATAATACGCTGCTTAAAAATAAAACAAGATACCAGCAGTTTCATTTTCATCTACTTATGTTAAGCAGTTAAACCAGGCTCAAAGGGTTATATCTAAACTCCCTTCCATTAACACCTGTAGAAACATACACAGCATTTCCAACTCATGTAACAGAGATTTGTTGTAATTCTTTTTTAAAGCTGCATTCAGTGTTCTTTGTATTACCTTTCTATTTTACTAAACAGACAACCATTGTCAAAGATGTTTCTCATATCCTTTTGAATGAGAAGAAAAAATTATAATTCTTAGTCTTTTCCACTTGTCACTACATCAATAGTTAACTTTAAAAAGGTAGCCTGAAAAGGTGCTTTAAGGAAGCATTTAATAATTCAAATGAATTTAAACTTGAAACAGGTGACATGAAAAAGAATGAAAAACAAAGCCCTATGTAATCTTGTCTGGCTGGCTCTGTTCGACATTTAAAAGGAACAAGGCATACAGAATATAACGGATTGTGTGTTTGATTGCCCCTAGCACCGAATTATATCATTGGATCATTGCTACTAAATAATACGATACAAAGTTAACCAGGCTGCATCATTGATGAGGTAGTGATACATTTTAAGTATAAGCTCAGGATGACTCTTTGTCCAGCAATGAACATTCAAGGGAAAAGGAAGAAAAATAATGCAACGCGGGTAAAAGGAAATACCATGATAAATGATCCTACTAGGGGCAATCAAATACAAAGGCTTGATATCATTAATATTTATAATATCATAATTAGCAAGACTGTGCCTAAGCAGTTATTAGTGTAACTAATGATGTTATCATAAACTAAGTTTGCAGTATTATAGGAATCAGTATTTTTACCTTCATAAATTATTATTAATATTGGATTTCATGTACTTGTGCCTAGTAAATTTAGTTAAGTACTGTAGTTTCATCTAGACTCGAACACAAATACCCAGCTTGCTTGGCAGCAAGTCATATAACACACTTCTGATTCTCTTTCTAAACTAAATTCACTAAAAAGCATGTACTTGCTCTCTATTTGGAAAAGAGAATAGAGGCTGTTGATGTGATGTATATGTTCTCATTGATAAAAGTAATGTGTAGGAATGTATATATTATACATGGAGTAAAATGTGACAGCCAAAATCCTGCATGATGATTTCACAAACTTATAAGGAGCTGTCCAAGTTTGTCTTGGTATTGCAGTTTCTTCAGTGAGACCCCGTGAGAAGCCGAACAGCAAATATGAATGAACTTTTGCATTAAAAAAAAAAAAAGGCTAATTTTGATATGTTGCATTTTTGGTGCAGTAAATGTAAAAATATGAAGGAATCAACCTCCATTTTGTTACAAAATTCCTATTAATTTTCATACAGAATCACAGGAATAACAAGTTCAGGCAATTGACATTTTAATGAGAAGGAACAGAGGGACAAGTATTATTTTTGACAGCATCAAGAACCACTTGCCTTCTGATTGTATACAAATTCATTGACCCTCTCCCAGTTTTCAGTGAATTACTGAGTTAGGACCTGTCCTATTCCCAGCGAAGTATGTTCATAATAGTATCTATTTTCATTCACAGTGCAATATTGAATGTTGATGTCTGTATTTTTATATAGCAGTGCACTATTCTTTTGATAGTTCATTTTCTGTGTGGTTTCAGCATAAAACAGATGCTGAGTGCAGAGTGTTGCCACCGGAGATTGACACAGTAGAGTTTTGTTGTGAAATATTGTAGTATTTAATGATCAGAGTAAACTAAAAGATAAATACTTTCTTATAAATGGTACGCCTGACATCAAACTGAAGCTGTCTTGCCATGCAGTTACCAGATAAATGACAAACTGAACAGTTATCATTGTCCATCGTTACATTTATCACAATAATTTCCTTCCTAAACAGAAAGAATACTAAAAATACTGTGCTAAATAGTGTAATATAATAAGCAGTTTAATAGCAAACATTAACTTTTGGCTGAAAAAGAGAATCATATTGATTAGTAACTGTTCATGCTTCTGCTTTAATGAAACTAATACTTTCATTTGATAATTTATAACTCAACATATGAGAAGCGTCATAGCACTGGAAAATATTTTGGAAACTTGAGTGCTGTTTTTATGCTTTTCATTGTTGTAGAATCTATTTTTTGGTATATAGACCCTAGATTTATCATCTTTGAGCCAGCCAGCAGATATTTTCTGATAGTCTTTGTAATAGTGCTGCCTTTTTCCCTTTTGCTAACACAGCAGTTGCTGTGGAGTCGATATTTGCCATAGTTCAGGATGTGACCTGTGGTACTACACTGCCTTTAATAGCGGTGAGATTCCCCCTTAGAAATGCTAACCTCAGTCGTGGCTTCCAGTCACCGGCTGATACTGTTTTCCATAGCTCCACCAATTTTATTCTTTCCTGTGGTTGTAGCCTTATCCATAACTGCTCCAAAGACAGTCCTAGCAGAGATGCTGCATCAGACTCACAAAGGTGGACAGAGCCAGCCTTCTGGGCTTCCTTCCTCATTGCTTTTCAGATGGCATATTTAGTTGGTTTTTTTTTTTCTCTGGGAGGACCTGACATTTGAAGCCTTGACACAGATGACTGTCATTAGTATCACCTCTGAATCACCTTGCCATTAAATGCATGGAATAAAACTTGTCAGCTTGTCTCAGCTATAATCTCAGCTTGCAAATCTCGACACTGAGATAAGAGAATAGCAAGGTAATGATGACACCACACTGCTTCTCACTGACTCCCTTGAGGAAGAACTTTTGTAGAAGCACACTTACCTCAGCATGAATTTAGGACTGAGATCAAGTGCATGATGCAATCAGGCAGAGAGTTAAGATGTAGAGCATGTTCTTACAACCCAAAGTTATTAGCGTGGCTGCATAACAGAGAGGGAGAGCACAGATAGTGTCCTTATAACCCAAAATTAACAGAATTATGTTTTAAAATAATGTTCCTGAGTGTCTTAGGAAGATACATAACCAGGGGCAATAAAGATAACTCGTTTCTCACCAGGTATCTGGATAAGGTGCAGTGTTCCCCAGAGGTGCACTTTGATCTCCTGTGTGTAGTCGCTGTCTCACCTTGTCTGTTTATTACAGGACTCTTTTATTCACACACTGATCTTACTCCAGAGAGCTGAAGTGATTATGTCCCAGAAATGCACTGGTGTCAGCTGGTGGTCACAGAAGTGGTATAGTGGTTTTCTGTATAAACTTCCACCTAATGTCAGCTATAAAAATCATACTTAACACAGTGGCCTCTATACGTGCCAGGTAGCTAAACATTAAAAATATGGCAGTGTATTCACTTGGTAGGTGTGGGTTTATAGGAACAGATAAATATATATGGATGTTTCATACCTTGCTTTCAGCACCAGAAGTTTTGCAAAACTGACATTTTTTGGATCATGCCTAAAGGATAAAAAATTAAAAAGAAGAAAAAGTCATAATTTTAACACCTTCATTCTAGAAATATCCAAAACCTAAAACAAACTGGGTTTCATAGTGGATCCTCCTCAACTGTTAAGGTTATGCTGTATTGAAAATGTTAAAGCCATATCTGATAAAAATACTTCTATAGAAGGTGGTTTTCTCCAGCAGACAGATGAGAGACAATGATCCCGAACATGCACAGTGTATGACCTTCAGTGAAAATTCTCATCACATTAAATTTAGCAAGCTGCTGATTTTGTTCTCTGAATGCATGGACTTCCCATTAAGAATAAAATACACACTTCCTTCAAGTATCTGTGGGTACTAAAAGCTGAGTTTTCTGAACAG